AAACAGCGTGATTGTTTGCTGGGGGCTTGCTATAATTAGTCTCTAGTACTTTCTCCCCACCCCGTGCGTGTGTGTGTGTGTTTTGTCCTCCTATCAATCATTCGCAAACGTTGTAAAGCAGGAGAGAAATCGGTTGTTTTCTACCTTTTTTTTTAATTATGGCAAGTAATACTCAGCTAAATGTTTTTACTGCTATACTCGAGTTCTGTACCACTAATGCTGTTTATATATATATATATATATATAAACAGCATATATATTTATATATATTATAATTATTTTCTATTTTAAAAATATGGTTCCATCGCTACACAGAAATTACTATGTTTCTTTTTTGAATTCCTGTGTAATGATCGAACCATATTTTTAAAATAGAAAATAATTATAATATAATGCTCTACTGTTCTGATTAGTTTTTTAAAAATAAAAATAATTACTAGGAACACTTACTGTTCTTTTTCTTATTATTTTATATATATATATATATATATATATATATATATATATATATATATATATATATAAATAAACTGTCAAAATGACCACGGGAATTCAGAGAAGCATAGATCCATCCAGCTCTTATCTCAAATAACAACTTAAAAGAGACTGTTTTACCAACACAAGGAATGTTAAAAGATTCATGTTAAAAAGATAAAAAAAATAAAAAAACTAATGAAAACTACAGACAAAAGTTCATTTTCTCCAACAAGACATTCATTTCTGTAGTTTACTGCTACCAGCAAGCAGAAATATTTCTTCTCCTGATGATGGCCATTTTGGCTGAAACTAGTCGAGGAATCTAAATGAAATAATAATAATAATAAAAATGAAAGAATATTAATCTACAACCCAGTGCGTCTGAAGATTTTAACTTTTTAATATTAATTTTTTAATATTTTTTATTGTTCAATATATATATATATATATATATATATATATATATATATATATATATATATAAATTGTATATATATATATATATATATATATATATATATATATATATATATATATATTTTTTTTAATATTAAGGAAATGATGACCGAACAAAGAAAATTTTGGAAAATAAAATAAAAAAATTCAAATAAAATAAACGTAAATTTGCACTATAAAGCCCAAACTATGGAGAAAATGTGACTCGAAAGACGCGATAAAAAAATGGATGAAAAAGAGATTTATGGAGGAAATGATGTCGGGGATAAAGTAAATCCGCTAAGAAGATAAGATGGACAGTTTACAGACGCATATTTCTGCTTACATATTTTCTCGTATTAATAAGGATTAAGAAAGTAATCATCTCTTTAAACTTATACACGAACTTACTTTACTTACACGATTAATTTTTTTGTGTGGTGATTTAGTCGGGCGAGCCGATAACTTTTCAGTACCAACTCGCCTGAAAAAAAAATATATATCTTTGAGTAATAAAAGTATGTTGCATTAAAAAATAAAATCCATTAATTCTTTAGAAATTGCTTTGTTTACGTTTCGGATACGAAACTGAGTAAATATGAACTACTGAATGTGCATTAAAACAAACACTACACACACAGACACACACACACACACACATATATATATATATATATATATATAGGCACCGTGTTTACACTATGACATATATCATTAAAGAATTTAAAGAAGTTCTGTCTACTTATTTTTAATAGGATCCTCTCGTAATTACGGACAAGTTTCTTAGTATCCTTATTAAAGGAAGAAAGAAAATAACCATGTTGATGCATATTCATTTTATTCCGAGAACTTTCAACATTAACACAATGTTGTCATCAGGGTCTTGTTTTTTTCTAAGACAAAAATAGTTGCGTTCATCATCTTTCTAAGACAAATTGTCGTGTTCATCTTAAAATTAATTATTTTACATGCGAAATAAAAAACACTAATTCAAGGGAGGTAACTATGTTATTGTAATGTCTAGATATTTTTCTCATCCGGCGTGCTTTGAACACTAGGCCACGGAGAGTTTTCACGTAAGTGAATGTAATGGATTCGATTTGAATTCGAACTCGGCTCTCCTTAAACCGAGCCGCTATCCACTGCTCCACCCTACCACCTCTCTCTCTCTCTCTCTCTCTCACTCTCTCTCTCTCTCTCTCGCTATCTATCTATATATATATATATATATATATATATATCGGATGCCTAGTCACACAGTCTGTGGATGACGATATATATATATATATATATATATATATATATATATATATATATAAGTGAACATTGAAGATGCGACAGGCTGTTTCATTCTAGAAGGCCACGAGTGTTGTTTGTTTCTCGGCTTTTTATATATACGGGTCAGTGGACCTCCGACAAAATAACCGCCAAAATAGACTACCTACAATGCACCAATGACCCGTATATATAAATAGCCAAGAAAAAAAACTCGTGACCTGACGATTGCGTCTAGCATGAAACAGCCTGTCGCCTCTAAGTTTTGACTTCAATGTTCACTTTTATATTTACACACGCTCTATCTCTGATATTGAGCACTTTATTCCATAAATATACCACACATTAAGAGTATATATATATATATATATATATATATATATATATAAACATACACACACACACATAGAGTGCCGGTTGAAACCAAGGCTGTGGGAGAGCAAGCCTATCTTATCAATGTTTGCTTTTTTCTACCTACATTTATATACTTTTTATATATGAACTAAACACAACTATTAAAGGATTTAAAATTTTCGCAGATTTTGACGTCATTCTGGTTTCCTTTCTTTGGGTGGGGTTCAAATACGTGAATTTGTTTGCTCATAAAAAAAAAAACACTATATAAAATTCACTGTTTTTTTTATCTATAATGTTGAATGTGTTAAAATTCTTCAACTTTTTAACAAGAAAAATCCCAAGTGCATGTTAAAAATTGCCGCAAAACATTATTGATTTATTTAAGAAGATGGAATAATCTATTATGACAGTATTTAGATACACTGTATTTATTTTCCTTTTTTTTTTTTTAGTTGAATTGCTAACCTATATTGCATACGATCCATTATTGTACATAATTAGGTTACAATAAAATTTGTATTTTATCTGAATAATACCTTATGAAAATTCAGATTTTGTAGAGTAGGTCCGTATCACAGATGTGGTTGGGGCCGCAATCCTTGCACCGGCCCGATATATATATATATATATATATATATATATATATATATATATGTGTGTGTGTGTGTGTGTGTGTGTGTGTATAAAGAAAACAAGAAAGCGCGTGAAAGATGTGTAAGATGTATTTATCAAAATTAATCCAACGAAGACCTGTTAAATCTATTAACCCAGAGGACTGCACTTATTAAATTCCTACGCTCAAACATACACACGCACGCACGCACACACACACACACACACACACACACACACACACACACACACTCACACACACATTCTCACATACAAAGACACCATGCTTAGTGGTGAGTGGAAGGTGTGTAACATAAAAATATGAGAATTATTTGTCTGCAATGACATATTGACATGACCTATTCGTACGAAATGAGGTGAGGTAACGTAGAAATAATGTCGCTTATCAGAGACCATAATGTATAGAATCAATTTTAATAGATAGGCATCCTTATTAACATATATCTACGATTTAATTTTAAATTTTGAACTAAAAAGAAAAAATGAGATAGAGAGAGAGAGAGAGAGAGAGAGAGAGAGAGAGTGTGTGTGTGTGTGTGTGTGTGTCAGAGAGAGAGAGAGAGAGAGGGAAAAAAACCGTCACATTTTTTTCTTGAGCATCACGGATTTTCTCACCTGAATTTTCCAAACGGAATGCCCCAGTCAGTCTGGCCCACCCAAAACAAAAGGATTTACGCTGATGAGTATTGTGTGATATGATTGAGTTGATTTTCCCCGTGTTCAAATGTTAACAACAACGGCTTACGGACTTCTGAAAACAGCCTTGAGAAAGACTTAGATTAATAATCGCTATATAAAAAACAAGTCCGGAAGCCAAGAGACCGGTAGATATATCACGGCTTTGCTTTCTGCAACATCGATATACACTTGGAGAAAAACAACCAGGAACAAAAAAAGATAGTGGTGGGTGTTGAATTTTCTTTATTATTTTTTAATTATGTATTACTTCGTGCTTCATTTGCGGATACTTTAACGAATTCACTATCTTAAGGATAATAAAAATTCAAGGACATTTTCATGTAGTTTTATTCGAGAATTTGCCCAGGGAAAATATTTTTCTCGCTTATACATGAAATTTGTTTCTCGGTGATTTCAAAATACTGACCTAGAAAAATAAAACTCAACTATACACACGAGTGTCGGTTTGAAAAAATAAATCGAATATCTAAAAAGTTAAAAACGATTTTTTTCTTTTACTTTCTGCAAATCGACAGACTTTCTAATCTCAAAACAAGCACCCAGGTATTTATTTACCAAAAAAAGAAATAACATATCATTTAAGGAAAAAAACGCAAACATTTTTCCTACATTTCAAGTACAAAATAAATATCGCAGCGATTTACTATGGAATAATTTTTCACACAAGCAGACGATATTTATTCTTTTATTTCTTCGTGTATTTAAAAGCAAACAGATGAAAAAAAGGTTGCACCTGCATCTGCACTTGCAATATAGAAATCAGCAAGCCATAAATCGTTTATCTTTTTCTACAGCTTCTTTTATAAACCAACATCTGCTTTTTCCAGACCATCTTGCCTTGTTTTTCTCAGTTGATTTCAGATTTTTTATTTCGTCTTCAACTTTGGCCCAAATCAAGATTTATGACGCTCGTGCTAACCAGCCAACATTTTATTGACTTCTCTATTCTCAATGACGTCTGCAATGGCTATACAATTCACGAAGGAATGGCTAATTCTGGTAGCTTTACTTATTTTAAGTATACGAAAGTACCCCAAAGACTCGACCGGCTCGAATACGTGGTCTCCAAACTTGAACGGAAATTTGAAAACCTAAGCGAGCGTTTCAACGATATAGAGGAAAACATGGACACTTACACGGAAAAATTACGCGAGCTTGACCAGCTGACCAGTCTGCTAATAATCCTAAAAGAAGGCAGTTTGGAATCGATATTATTAATGGAGTACCTCATTTCATTTTTCACTACGATCAGCAACCAAATGCTGGAGAAAGACCCGGGAACTAAAAACGAGTACTCACTATTCAGCCTGCGTAACGACGAGAAAACCCGCAAACTACTATCGGAGACGCTGGACTTACTCGGTTTCCCGACTGAGTGCATTGATATATTAAAACTGTCGCTCCAAATCGTTCACGAGGACGACTGGCGGAAGCGACAGCGGAAACCTCTGGAGTTTGAGAAGGTGAAAGATCCCGAAAAGATGTATGCATATTTACGCGAGAGGCACTCGGATGTGGCCCGCGATATACAGTTCACGCTGCAGAAGATGATAGCTACAGTCTATTTTGAGGCTTTGTTTAAGCATATCATGGAGACGTCTGTAGATGACTCTGAGAGGGCCACTTCCCTCGGTTCCGGTGAAGAGTTCGCTGAACATTTTCACACTTCACTAGGCAACTCCAACAACAAAAGAGAAGAAGACATCATGTTTCAGGATCTACTCACGAACATTAAAACTTCACTTACAAGGATGAGAGCTCAGAAATTTTTCAAATTGAAATAACTTTAAAAAAAAAATGCATCGGATCGACGCCATTTTTTTTTTTTTTTTCTTTAGACAATTATTTAAAAAAAATTATTTATTTATTTATTTTGTGAGAGACATGTTTATTATTTTGTTCAGCACGCAATCAGGGATCAATTTTGCTAAACATCTAAGTCTGCAGGCCTCAGGTAATATCTTCTGGATATTATATTACCAGATTGATTCCATTTTCTTATTTTTCATTTATTTAATATTTTTCGAAAGGCATGCTTGTTATTTTCTTATCCGTTTATTCAACATGCAATCAGGGATCAGTTTTGTTAAAAGCTTAAGTCCGCAGGCCTCAGGTAATAACTTCTATATATCATATATATTCGTTATTATTATGGTATGTGACTTTAATTGGTAATTAAGGTGTCTTTGACTATTTTTATATTTGTTGGCAATAGACAAAATATGAAAAATTATTTTTGATAATTACAAAGTATATCTGTATTTGTTTCATAAAACATATTAATAACACACACACACACATTACACGCTACTAACACACACATATGCACTAACAAACATATACACACATGCATATATATATATATATTTATTTATATATATAATCGTACGACATGTTATGGCCCACGTTGCTTACGACTCCTTAAACTATTACAGATAAGATAAACTTGGACATTTTCGTGGGTATTTCTGCGGGGTCCACAAAAAGCCACTGTCGTTCCTCTTGTTCCCATGGCAACTTTCAAAAGGCTGGATATCACCGAGTCACTGTGATTTGCAACTCGGTACTCGAGCACGGCGTGCCTTTTTATTCCCTGTGCGTGATCGGAAGTAGCCACTTTAATGCCCTAGTTACGCCTAGAAGCGAAATAAGAAAGCTTCAGTTTAGCGCAGGACACATGCCCATTACGTTATGTCACCTTCCGTTTACGGCCCGCTAAAGACGTGTTCGGAAATATTTGCCGCACGCTGCATTATTCCTCAAACTTTTGTTCAAAGTTCGGGGAATAATCACGGGCAAATTTAGTTAGCTTAATGTTTTGGTTACGCCACGGTTTGTTCCTTTGCCTGCTGTTTGCACAATGGCACGAAAAGAGTACTGCTCATATAAAGTAGGCGCAAAAATCCGTACTACCTTCGGTTCGCGCGTGCTGTTCAAATCATCGGGTATCATTTCGTACACACACGCACCAAATGGCAACCAAATAACGCTTCTTTGATTTTGCTTCAAAGTGCATTTTGATCAGTCGTTTAGAAGTTTATAAATCGATTCACCGACCGAGCAAAGCCGAATAGTGCTTTTAAGATTATCGAAACATACATATCTGTTTAGTTTCGTATCTAAACAAAGTAAACGTACGTAAACAATGCTATTTATAATGAAGTAATGTTTATTTTTATTTATTAATTCAAACAGATTTTATCACTAAAACGTTTTTTTGTGGATTCCCATATTTGAGTAGACACTCCGTTTATTTATTAAACAGTATGTTCATTTATTTTCGTTAGTATACGAAACGGAGCAGATATTAATGTTTCGAGAACCTTTGAAGAAATTTGCGTTTAATGACACTATTAGCCAGACACTGCGTGACCGTGTTGGTCTACAGCACGCCGAATCTAAGGGCAGTTTCTCCTGACGCAGGTTGGAATCCTTCCAAAGGGCGCATTCTGTCTTTAATAGGACTTCTCTAATCAGGCCGGTAGATGAAAATGCGTCCAGATTGAACATATGGTTGAAAACCGGTTATTAGCTGGAAACTGTTGCACACACCGTGTACAATATAAAAAAGATCTTATCAATAATGTGTATATGCATACATGCACGCACACACACACACACACACAAACACACACACACACACAGACATACACACATATATACACATCTTAGCGGTCTTCTAACAAAATCAATCACTTTTGTTCCGTTTCGCAATGGCTGTCGTACGTTGGTGTTTTACCTGGCTTAGGTTAGTTAATCATTTACACAAAAAAAAAACATATTATACAAACCCGAGGCCTCTTCAGGTGTTTATCGTTGCTTATAGAACGATACGGTGTAAAACGTATTTTCAAGGGTTTTAGTTATGTAGGTTACCACAACACAAATCCTTGAAAATGAGTGCTTTCCGCTAATTTATTTTCGGAAAGTACTCGAAACGAGCAATAATTTGGATAATTTCTCTGTACACTATGTCCAAGAATGAAATCTCTTGTTCACACATAAAAAGCAAAGCCAATAATAATAAAACTTAACAAGAAGTACTTGTCAGACATTTTGAATTACACAATTAGGTGTTCCCCTTTTTAATCTGAGAAACTACCTTCAGACATGGCGAGCTTTTACCATTTAGCTTCAGGCTCAATTTCTATTGGGAAGCACGTTTTGTTTAATAAAACTTTCAATCTCTCAACCAATAGATATTAATTTAAAACAAAACAAAACAGGGATATCTAATCAAACATGTGTATCCAATATATATATATATATATATATATATATATATATATATATATATATAGGTTTTTTCTATGTATATTTCTTCTTTAGGTAAATATTGGGGGCTGCAGATTCTTAGTGCTCTTAAATAAATCCTATAATTATTCCAGATTCTTTTCTGCTGCAATGGTGAGAATAATAGTTATTGTTGATAGATTTTCTGGAAAATTTTAACTGAAGGTCTACTCACAAGAATGGGCATAAACCTCTATTCTCACCACTGCAACAGAATAAAATATAGAATAATTACAGGATTTTATTTAAGCGCACTAGGAATTAACAGCCGTTAATAATATTTAGCTGAAGAAGAAATATACAGAGAAAATACCTTTAAAAACTACCAATATCCTTGCTATTTCATCTAATATACATATGGCTAATATCACCTGGTGAGTGGACGGAACGATTGCTGGCGGATCCGTTTACGAAACTGTAGTGTCGGGATGCTGCAGGTAATATCAATCACCTAACTGATAAATTTTCTATTCGCATTAATCATATATATATATATATATATATATATATATATTATGAAAAGTCCGACAATTATTTTAAGACATTTTTGTGTTTATACTTTCTTTTTTTTATATTTAAATATTTGTATCTATAAAAGGAAGGTATAAACATAAAAAAATGTCTTAATATATATATATATATATATATATATATATATATATATATATATATATATATATTAGAATGGATTTTATTCATCTGACACATTTTTATCAATTTAAACGTTATTATCAGTGGATACTCGTTTTGAGTATGTGCTCCGTTTATATATTAAACAGTATATTCATATACTTTCGCCTACCAGCTCGAAATTTCTTGAAATCTTATTAAAAAGAAATTTACACTCTTCGGCGAGAAATTTTCTTTTATTCTTTAATAAGATTCCTCGAAATTTCCGCCCGGAAGGTGAAAATAAATAAATACACTATTTAATATATAAATGAAGCACCTATTTATATTTAATATATAAATGAAGCACCTAGTCAAAGACGAGTAGCCACCAACAATAACGTTTAAAGTTATAAAAATATAAATATATATACAGTTATATATATAACCTTGCACCAATGAAAAGTGCAATCTATATATATATATATATATATATATATATATATATATATATATATTGCTGATACCGCCTGACGAGTGGACGGAGTGATTTCTGGAAGGCTCGTCTACGAAACTCCGAAGTCGGGATTCTGAAGTGAATATCAATCAGCTAAATGACAAATTTATATCTGTATCAATTTTATATATATATATATATATATATATATATATATGTTATAATTATTTTTTAAAAATATGATTCCATCGCTACATAAGAGTTCTCATCTTTCAAAAACAGAAGCTAAAAAACAGCTCTGTTTCATCCTCAAGCGAATTTTGGAATAACTAATCTTGAAAGTTACGGAGCTTTATAAGCATATACATTCGTAATATTAATTACATGGAAACGGCGAAACCAATTGTTTTAATAAGGTGCGTAAGAGTGAACATATTGTATCAACATATTAGTTACCTTCGGAAAGAGGTTAAGTCAAGATAGGGTCGGGGTGTCTATTTTCAAGCGAATGATGACATTCACTTTGACGTATATCGTCTGATCTGTTTCAACGACACAGAGTTGTTGGCATTATATATATATATATATATATATATATATATATATATATATATACAAAATTATTTGAAAATTACTTAAGGCGTGAAAATGAGTCTCGCTATGCGGTGTTGATTTCTGTGTTCACACTGTTAAATTAAAAAAGTGTTGACATAGAATAGGGATTCGGAATGAAGCTCCACGTAACTCACACGCCTGCCTGCGATTGACAAGACCCGCGCGCGAGAAAGATTTTACCACGGCTGGTGCATGCAGAAATTGGGTTCATGGTTGGAATGAGATCTAATTTTACGTAGATGCTTCCTTTCCGCCACTCAGATCGCCTGAAAAAATGTGCAGCACCAAGAAGGGCTCTCGGTAGCCTCCTGCGCTATCGACCACTACATACATGTAGTGGTCGATACCGTAGGCAACGAGAGGCCTTATTTATTTTCTTTTTTTTTATTAGGAAATCCCGCTACACATATGTTGTGTTAAAAATATTTCGTTTCGTTCAATTGTTTCCTTAAATTTTCAGTTTAATAATTTTCGGTTTCGACTTTTAAAAACTCTTCGAAAATTTAAGGAATTACTATCTTCCAAACATATATATACATGTATCTCAACACTACATACTGTATATTTATATTAGATACGTGAGAGTGTTTCCTGTAGTTTGTTTTTTAAGGCTAGAGACTGAATACACAATTTCAAACTGTATATTAGCTGGAATATTCTGCACACACCTAGTGTAATGTTAAAAATAAATAACCAATATATATATATATATATATATATATATATATATATATATATATATATATATATATGTATATGGTAAAAAATATAGTTATAAGGTATGCTATCTTTTATACTTAAAAGTGCTCAATATCATGGATATAGCATATGTAGATATAAAAGTAGACACTGAATTCAATACAGACCGGCGACAGTCTGTTTTATGCTTTTGTGCAATCTTCAAGAAGGCTTGAAAATATACAATACAGTTTATGTCATAATGGAACGAAATTTTCAGGCTGCCTGAAGATTGCGTTCAAGTATGACACAAACTGTTTGTGTATATATATATATATATATATTTATATATATATATATATATATATATATATAAAGGTTGTTTCATTAACACGGGTTATATATAAGGGTGTTTCATTAAGACGGATCAAAGTCAGCAGTAAATAAATTAGTGTTATTGGTGAAAATGTATTTATTTCTCTATTGGATCATGTTATTTAAATCATGGCAATTATCTGTGAAAAATAACATCGCCCAAATGTCCGCCAAATCTGTAAGAAAAAGAAAAAAATCATTAGACTCTTAAACTTAAATTACATTTAAAATCGGTCCAAGTTTTTGGAACACCCTTTATATTACACACACACGCACAAATGCAGACACATACATACACACAGAAATTGCTAGTCCAAATTTCAGGAAACTTGAGACGTGAAATGGCTTCCTGAGAATATATATAAAATACGGCTCTTTATTTTCTGGCGGACTGATTTCGAGAGATGGAAGCAATATCCGCCGAATCACGGTCCAAATGCTGAGTAACTAGTTCAGAGTTACTCAATCAGTCCTACCTCGTATACGATATGGTCATTTTTATTTATGCCAATGAAGGTGGTGTATTAAGTGAAGCGAACATCCGGCGAGGCGTGGGTCTTTTGTAGGAAGAGAAGAAATGAAACGAAAGAGTGAAATATTAATCTATGACAAAATGAATTATTTGGAATTTTCTTTGGAGAACTTTCATGCTGTACATATTTATCAGATTCGTTTTATTTTTCTCAACTAAAATGAATTGAGAATAAAAGAGAAATATATATATTTTTAATTAAACCTTGTTTTGTTGTCTTATTTTTTTTGGTGTTCATCGTTCATCGCTAAAGGACGTTACTTCATTAATGGTTCCCTTCCTGAAATATGCTCCCTTTCCTCATTTTGTCTTCACACACTGATCTCACTCATCCCTGGTTTTCAGCATTGCTATATAACCCCTGAGAAATAACCTACACGCGTCAGCGTAAATAAAAAATTCTAGCGCTGAAGGTGCTAATAAACAGATACGGACTGCAACAGATTTTTTTTTTTTTTTAGTTGCTTTTTACGGCTTATCAAACATTTGCGCATAATTTAAGGAAATAAATTATATTTAGATTGTAAAAATTCTTTGGTGATAATAATGATTTACTGATCAATCATTCAGTTAAGCGATTGGGCGATCACGCCTCTTTCGATTTATGACTGATCCGGCAGTTCTTCCTGCAGTAGGTTGTCATTTCTTTCTGTCGTATACTGGTTGCCAACCAAGGCTATAGGACACAGTCTGTCCTGCTGTTCAACCCATAACTGGAGAAGAGATGGATTCGTACCTTTCTAAAAAGTATTTGTGCCTAAGTGAATGTAACGAACTCGACCAGATTTCGAACTCGGCTCTCAGATTTCTCTTTCCGAGCTGATATCCATTACCCCACAACGCACATCGTGATACAATTTATATTGATTAACCCTTAGCGGGGAGGGGAGAAAGAGGTGCATTCATACTTTTCCTAAGGGAATTTGAACGTAAGTGAATATAACGAAATAGACTTGAATTGGAATTCGGCACTCCAATTTCCAATTCCGAGCCGTTATCCATCTGTACATCCACGGCTACAGCACCTGATATTCCCAAGCGGTCACCCATCTAGGTACTTGCCAGGCTCGACGATGCTTAACTTCGGTGATCGTACGAGAACCAATGTTTCAACATGATATGGCCGTAAGTCCAACTGATATACAGAGTGCGATGGTTAAATTGACGCCATTTTATATTTTTAATTTCGCGCATCCGTGTTTGTTTTTGACTTTGTCGAGGATCAATTGGGCACCGTCTGGAAGAAAAAGAACCCCATGACGCAATTCACTCCGCCAAAAATTTGGAAACAGCATGCTGTACTGATTGGCATTTGTGCTTTTCTTAGATGCGATTAAATAAGATGTTGCCAGATGAACATCCGTGGCTATATCGCTATAAGTACAAATCTACAGAAATGGACACTTAGATACCATGTCTGATCCGACTGGTTTGCGACGGCGTCCTGTCTAGATGTCAGCAAAATACAAACAAACGTTCGAACTTTTAACTTCGACTAACAAAATAAAATAAGACCGTACATTTCTGCAGGACACGTGTTAATTTTATTCCTTGCAAAATATACATGTTTCGGATGAGTAAGTGGCTTAGCTTTTATCAAACAGATTTAGAAAAAGAAAATCACTAGGTTCTAATGCCACCTCCTTTTGTTCTAACGGCGCACTAACAACCTCTTTTTTCCTCGACTCGCTTTGGATTTTTCCACTGCCTCCAGGAGGCACGGTACTGCCCTCTTTGGGAATCCCAACTTTAAATATTTATCTGACAAACAACTGGATTTCATATCATAAAAAAACCTGCCCTCTCCCATTTGAATTTAAGATTACAGTATTAAGAAGTTAGGTCAGTTACTATTAGACTGCAACGTGTTGATAAACAAGCTTTGCTGATTAAACCTGGGATATATATATGTATAACTTTGGGGGGGGCATCAAATACAGTAGCTGTCAATTTAGTGCGGTTAAGTGTGCTTGTTTGTCCGTTTTCTTACATTGTTGTTTAATAATTTTCATTCAAAGGTTTACAACAGCTTACTGTAAATCATTTGGTTTTTCCTTTAATCCTAGTTAGTGTAGCAAAATATGGATTTATTGCGACTTATATAGTAATGACATATACACAGCCACGTTTACACACACCCGTCTTTGGATACACAGTTTGTTTTGCCTTTTGCCCCAACTAATGCGAAACGTCCTCGGAATGTTGCAGATACATTGTATTTTGATTTTGTTCGAGGGACATGTGACGTTGCTGTTGTGAAACTATGAACATTCACGTAGAAAGAGACGAAGTGTTTTTTGTCATGTTTTTTGTTTGTTTGTTGTTGTTTTTTTATTCATCTCAATCTTAAATGTTTCTGTTTTATAACCAGCAGGTTGTTCCTTTTGCAGTCTAGTTTTCTAAGCAGTATCCACTTTGACCGAAGGGGTAGTAAATGAGTAGAGGGGGACTTTTTGGAGATCAAGTAACAACAAAACCGGAAATAGCTTGTATCCGTGTGCTGGTCTATATTATCAGCCATGCTTGGAATCGAAATCAGTTCTGGTCCATCCCAATTCAGTCCACGTCCCGTTGAGTAGATATGGCGAGGAGTTTGTAAAGGGGGAGAGATCCACATCATCATCATCTTGCGGCCTCAGCCGAGATTGAACTCGCCAATACTTTGATTGGTGTAGTTCATAATCTTGTCAAATAGCTGAATTCTTGATGCTTCGCTAGGGCTATCAAGGGTGTTTTTATCATGACACCATCACTAAATGGATTGCCAACCAAGGCTCAGAGAGACTCCATTCATCCACATAGCAGAATGTGTCATTTACCTACTCACCCGAAGCCCTGAATGAAGCGTCTATTTTATATTGGAAACAGGGTTCGTATTACCATTACTCGACGTGGCGTTTGTCTTTCATCTTGTTACCTTATGTGTATGCAGCAGACCCTTGCCCAGATTTCGGTGCGCAGCAACGAGATCATGAATCGAAATGCAATGTGAAGTAATCATTGGCCAGTCGTTTCAAGATTTTTGTGAGGGTTGTGTTATATGTATACACCGGAAATTTGAATTCAACTATTTTCTTGGCCCCAAATTAACTGCCCATCATCCAACGTTGTCACAACGTTAGGGTAACGTTCCAAAGCCAGTTATAACATCAGAATATTTGTTATTAATATGTATAAGTGTAACCTATCTTGAGAACTGAGAATCATTTAGATGAATGCGCGTTCTAATCTAAACATACAACGCGACAATCGCCCAAGGTTTCCACCGACCGGCCAATGATTATTCCACGTTGCATTTCGATTCTTGATTTCATCAGTATGCTCTGAAAGCTGGCTTGATGCGAGTTCATAGGGTAACAAGATGAAAGACAAACGCCACGTCAAGAAGTAAGAACGCGAATCCGTTTCCCATGTTATATGTAGATGTTTTATCCAGGACCTCGCCCGTGTAGTTAGGTAGGTAGGTAGGTAAGTGATACTTGGGACAACTTTTGCTACGTCAGCTCTTCCTCCTACCAGCTCCTCATCCACCTACATGTGTGACAGGAAATAGAAATGGATGGCACAAGAACCACGCGACGGACCATTCCATTAAACTTTTACTATCCAGTAATGTGTTGATTGTGTTTCTCTTACCATTTATTTTTATTAAATTATCGAAATCAGCTCTTTTTTTAATAACGCTGTAACGGTGGAGTAATGGATAGCTCGGATTGAGGAATCGGAGAGCCGAGTTCGAATTCCCTTCGAAGCTATTACATTCACTTACGTGCTAATCCTCTTGTAAAAGGTATGAATCCTCGTCTACCATTTATTTTTATTAAATTATCGAAATCTGCTCTTTTTTTTTAAATAACGCTACTGTTCTACCGCAGAAAGAAATGGCAACCAACTGCTGGGAAAAAAATCTGCCTCGTCAGTCATGTATCGAAAGAAGCATGATAGCACATAACTGACTGTATAAACAGTCACAGTCGCGATTGGAAGAAGTTTCGTGTCGCCCGTTACCGGACGCACGGCGTTCGGTGCGAGAAGGTTCCGAAGCTGCGGGTCGTGTAGATGGTCAGAAAGAGTTAAAGTGTAAGTGAATCCCTAAATAAACAACGAATTACATTAGAGACAGAGTTGCAATTCTTGCCGCCGCGTTTATGTTTACCTTTCATTTCTTTGTGGACGTATAGTGGGCATCTCCCAGCTCTTTGACCACACCGACGCAAACGAGAAAGCAGATGCAATGTGGGGTTACTTAATCGGTCAGTGAAAAGCTGAGAGTGGAACGTATTTTTACAATAATAATTTAACCTCAAAAACAAGAGATTTAAACGCTTGTGTCTGCTTCAAAACAAATTTTAGAACTCGATAAATGAATTCTGTAACTGAAAAAATGTTTTTTCATAGAACTAAATGCAGTAAAAATTTTAAAAAAATAATTTGTTAACAGTTGTATAAGAATAATTCAACACAACTCGATAGGGGTTCGATCACAGGTGTCATTCAAGTGAAATAAGGGCTTACTTAATTCAGATAATTGGACCCCTACCAAAAGTGATAATCGCAATGCCCCTCACACATAATCGCTTTTTTATGCGCCGTGTCTCTTCCGGACATAGGCGATCATGGTCCTCCACAACTTCCAATCCCTTGTAACTTTTAATAAGTTTTGTCTTTTTATTTCTCCCAAACTCTGTTTTACCATCCATTTATTCAAGCCCATCAAGTATGTTACGCGCTGTTTTCTTCTGTTCTCTCCTGTGAGAAGCAATTTTTTTCAAATCCTCAGGTGCCCCAGGAATAACAGAAACTGCTTTTATTTTTAGAACTGTAAATCATCCATGCGATAAAAATACCACACAATTTACTATTTTTAGAAGCAAAGAAGATAGATAACAATTAATTGGGATAAAGGAAATCGTAAACAAAATACTTTTCGTGTGTGAATCAAATATTACGAATGCGTATGTATGTGGACATTTCTATATGCATGTCTATGTTTGTTTACTAAAGTACACTGTACACATGAGCATGGATGTGTATACGTACGCGTTCGCCTGTGTTTTTGTTTTAAAAAATGTATATGGAGTTGGAATTTTTTTTTTTTTTTATAATATTGATTTGTTTAAATGATTACCAGAGATTTTGCCCAACTGATTAATGTGCCCGTCGTTAATCTTTAATCAAAACGATTTTCGATTTGTTGTTTTGGGTTTTTTTTTTCTCGTCAGCATTTTTATTTATTTATTTTTATCTTTTAACAGCTTAGCAACGGGATCTTTTTTTCTTTCTTTTTTTTTTTTTGTAAAGAGTGAAAACAATTATTTAACGCTCCTCAAAAATTAATTAGCTTAAAAAATGGGATGTAATTCAACACAGTCTATAAGATTAATAGAAACAATGATCAAATTTAAAGAACGAGATATACAGATTTTGTTATAGAAAGCTAAATGAAATATTTGTGTACATACACCACCTACATTGGACACCAAGTTAACGGGTCAAATTTATTTTATACATTTGCATCATCAAACATGGCGGCTGTTTATCTTCTTTTCTTTTTTTTTCCTTTCTAACTCTAGAAATAAATGTTTCTGCTTGTCTTGACAGTTCAGACAAAAACAAAAGTATGTTTTTTGCTCTTTTGCATCAACAGCTGTAAGTTCTTTTTTTCAAAAAGCTGTTTGTTTTACGCTTTGTAAACAACTTCTCAAATAACCAGCTCAGAAACACAATACAGTTTAGAAACATTAGCTTCGATCCAAAATACTGTTTCAAGATTTTTTTTTTAATGTATAAAGAAATTCCCATCATATCTGAGAATTTTGACGAAATTATACCATGACACTTGATGTATGACATTTGCTGGGCAACCAGAATGTTTAAACAAAAAGAATAATCTTAGTAAAAAAAAAGATTTTCCCTAGAGACAGAGAGTGTAAACGCCTTGAGGTATACTGCTTGAACAGGTGTTATGACCTTGTACGGGACTTCATGTATCACACCTATAATCAATACAGGTGGTTTGTCCGGTCTCGTCAGCTCACATATTCTAGGTAGGATGATTATCTAACACGCAGTGTACAGGAAAAGATTCTTCCACTTCCTATTTTTATTGACTGAAATGGAATATCTTCC